AACTGTCATTCTGAACTCTAGGTCTGACATCTTACTAATGTCTGTATTGTTAGGTCCCTAGCCATTGGTAATACCTCTTGTTCTTTTTTTTTTTTTTTTTGAGGTAAATTTTTCTGCCTTTTCATTTTATCCAGATAAGAATAGATGAATGAGAGAACAAAATACTAAAAGTGTAGCAATGATTCCAGAAAAATATACACTAACCAAATCAGGAGAGACTTGAAACTGGGGGGAGAAGAAAGGGGGGGAAGGAAAAAAAAGTATATATATATGTGTGTGTGTGTGTGTGTGTGTGTGTGTGTATGTGTATGTATGTGTATATATATATGTGTGTGTGTATGTATATATGTACACATATATGTATATATGCTGTCTGTAGTAGATACATATAGCTATCTATATCTATAGATGTAGATAGATAGATTTAGAGTGGTGAATAGAACAGAGCCACACACTTGATTTGGGATATATTTTGTTCTTTTAGAAGAAACTGCCTCCCAAAACTTTAAAGAAAGAAAACATATATTTATATATAAATATATAAGCATATATTTATATATAAATATATAAACATATATTTATATAAATATATTTATATAATATATAAACATATATTTATATATAAAACTTATATATTTATACAAAAATAATGTTAAACCAATGAAGGGATGGAATATGAATGTAAAGATGAAAGTTAAAAAGGATTCTAAAAAAAGAATTGATAAGATAAGAAGTTCATTGAAAAAAAAAGGCGGGGGGAGAGTGTGCTCAGACTGGAGGCTAGAACAAAGTCATATGCTAAATTTAGCATGTATTTTGATCTGTTAGAAGAAACTGTATCCCAAAATTTTAAAGAAAGAAAACTTACAGCTATACAAAAAATATGGTTAAATACAGTGAAGGGATAGAATATGACTATAACAATGAAAATCTTAAAAGATTTTTAAAAAGGTATTGGTAAGATGAAATAGTTTAAAAAGGTTAAAATAGGAAAGAGGAAATTTTTTTTAAATAGTATAAGAAAAAATAATTTTTTTTTTTTTAAAAAGTGTCTTTCATGGGGAAAGAAGTCACGAATTCTATGTGCTGCATTCCCCCAGCTCTGGAGTTCCATGATTCTCATTGAATGGTGAACTTCTTGGCTGGATGTTCTTGCTGATCTTCTAGGGGAGGGGCCTGTTGCAGTGATTCTCAAATGTCTTTGCCCAAGGCACAATTGTGCCACCCTTGCCAGGGACCAGGCTAAGCAATCTGCTTGGTTTTGCTCTGGGCAGCTTTTGTTCCCTGAAAGTTTTCCATATTGCTTTGGAGGTTGAGAGGTAAAATAGTGGCCTCCCAATCTCTGACCCAAAGGAGCTGAGAGCTTGGGGCCCCACTCCTCGGTGTTCCCTTAGAGAAAAGCCATCAATCCCTCCTATTTTCCTGGTCTCTGGCTGCGCTTCATGCTCACCCATCCTGTGACTGAGCATTTCTATCTCTGATGCATGGCTCTGTTCAGAGTTCCTAAACCCAGCAGATTCCTGCCTGCACACCCACACCATTCCTCCTGGAGGAGGAAGGGGGAAGGTCTCCCCAGATCTGCCACTTGTGGTGGGATCCTTGCTCAAAGAGCTATGGCTCAACTGTGCCTTGGATCATGGTTCAAGTTAACCTCAAGCTGAGATCCCACTCCTCTGCTCCATCTTTGCAGCTGGCTTCCCTGCTCCAGTACCTGGGAGCTCTACCACACTCAGACATCCATGGTCTTTTTGTGTTCCCTTGGGTTCTAAGACCACACTGTCCCCACAAGGCCTCCACCCCCTGCTTGGCCTCTGGAGCAACGACCCTCTGTGGAGCAGACATCTAAAAGTTCTGATTTTGTGCTCTGCTGCTCTACCACTTGCCAGGAGCCAGCCCCTCCCCCACGGTCTAGCTTTCCGTATGTAACCTTGGATTTACTTCTCTGCACATCCTACCTTCCAATAAGCAGTTGCTTTTCTGTTCCTAGAATTGCTGCTATTCTTCTCTTCTACCTCCTGTTGTGTTTGTAGGTGTTCAGAGTGTTCTGATAACTATCTAGCTGAATTCCTGGGATGCAGCAATATTTAGGTCTCCTACTCCTCTGCCATTTTGCTCCTCCTCCATTCAATTTTAAGTGAACCATAGGAGAAGCATGCCTAACTGATAAAAAGTGTCAGAGCATATCAAAACATGAGAGGGGAACCTGGGTTGCTCAGTCAGTTAAGTTCTGCCTTCTGCTCAGGTCTTGATCTCAGGGTCCTGCAATTGAGCCCTGCATTGGGCTCTCTGCTCAGTGGGGAGAAGAGTCAACTCCTCCCTCTCTGCCCTGCCCCATTTGTGTTCTCTCTCACTAGCTCTGCTCACTTGCTCATGCACTCTCTCAAATAAATAAAATAAAAATAAATCTTTAAAAAGAACATGACAGACTACACAGTAAGAGAGCTCTGCTGTGGGTTAGGGTTACTTAGTTGCACGTTTTTGCTCTCCTAACAGATTGCTTACACCTTGGGGAGAAACCTGCACAAATGCTTGACAGAATTTTCAAGGAGCAGTTAACAAAGAATTGAGAGGCAAAGATCTAGGAAGGGCTCTAGCTTCACTTTGTTCTATTACCTTTGGCAAGGCAGTTGTTCTTTTTGCACCTCAGATCCTGCATCTCTAAAACAAGGAAGCTGAATCTGTCCAGATTTTTAATTATTTTTTAACTTCTAAGTATTATAAAATGTAAGGGCAGAAATCAGAGATATCCCAAGTCCCTGTCACAATGCCTAGCACATTATAGTGTTCCATATACAGCTGTTGAATTGAATTGGATTTTTTTTGGTAAAAATTTTAGGTGAAATACTGATGTATAAGATGAATAAAAGCAAAGCTCCTTTTGTCCAGAGAGGGGTGGGTGGTACAAATCAAGTCACGTGGACCACTCTTTATCTCCATCTTCACTTCACCTGCCCAGAGGGGCACTATGGAAATCCAAGGCTTTAGGGAACACAATTTAAAAATCAAAGGACTTAATAAGCGTATAATTTTCTCTGGCTCCAACATTCTTTGATTCCTCTGCTAACTTGGAATTATCACATAGAGAGTAATATGAAAGGTCTTAAAGATATAACATTATGCCACAGGGCAGATGGTGGCTTGAGGTGGAGAACCACAAAACCATTTTATATTCCTGAAATAATGTGCTACACTTGCATTTTATTATCTTTCCCTGCAGTTTTGTTTTCTTATTAGGAATCAGTGTGGGATGTGTTTGAACAGAGAATATTTCTGTCAGCTGCTTTCTGTAACTGTTGAGTTGTCTACTTGTAACTACATAATCACAAAATTTTATAAATTGAGTTAATTTACTGAATAAGCCAGTTATTTTGATACCATAGTTGCTTTTGAAATTCACTGAAATCGTATGAGAATCCAAGCCTAGGAAATGTGGCTTTCTTTTTCTTTTTCTTTTTCTTTTTTTTTGAAATGTGGCTTTTTGACCTGTTAATGGTGAACTCTTTTGCCAACCTTTAGTGAATAATCTATTTATTTAGCTGGTAGGAGAATAAAAATCTGTTAATCTCACTGTAGGCAAGAAAGAAGAATAAGGTTAATCAGAGATGTCAAATCTTCAAGAAGAATTTCAGAGTGACTTATTTCATCCCATTATCCCAGCTTTCCTTTCCCCTTCACTCCCATCCCTGTGTTAAATGCTAACGAAGATGAATGAATAATGTATTCAATTAGTTGCAAATGAAAGCTATTGATCCTCTGTGAGGTTGGTGTCCCAAATCAGGACTCTTAAATCTCATCCCTGTTTTTCTGCATTGGGGGTTCATGATTCATTTGAACAGACTGTGTTTTCAGTTGAAGAGAGATGAAGTTGAGCTGTCGAGGCAGATTGAATTCTCCAGTCCTCTGGTGATGAGGACATGTGGCCAAGTCCTGGCACTGCTGTGTAGATCAGCCTTTAAGTTATCACCCAAACTGGCATGGTCTCCTGGCAAGGAATGAATAAAGCCCTCAAAGTGAAAACATTTAGTTCAGCAACCCTTAATTGATCATTTCTATCTTTGTTACACAGTGAAAGTTGCTGCGACAAGTTTCAAGGGACCTGGGAGATTCAGTCAGAGAAGGTGGGAGGTAGGATTAATGAAGGAGAACTGACTGTCTAGAGTCCAGACAGTCTCATTGGACAGGAATAAAGTCTGCAATGGGAAACCTGTCTTCAAGAGGCATCATAGTAAAACTCCCAGACCTTTAGGCTGATAACTGATAAACTGATGGGAGCACAGAGCAGAAGTATGTGGAAGGTGAAAAATCAAAGCAAGTATATCATGCAAATTAGCAATAAATGCTACAAAATGTAATGGATAATAGTAATAAGAGGTTTTGAGTAAATGGCAAGTATCATTTAAAATATTATCTTGGTGAATACTTATGTACATGTTGGAGTGTGCAGCTTGTACTTGTACTAATTGAATGCCAATGCCAAACTGCTATCCCATTTTGTGATTATGTGTGCAAAAAATACTTAACCTATTTATTAAGTTAGGGGTTTTGAGGCAGTGTGCTCCAGGGTATGGAAACTTGGAAAGGAATTAAGGAGAATAAGACAACATTATGTCCCCCAAATCATCAAAATGCACAATACAGATACCATGTTTAGCTTTAATTAACACAGAAAATGTAGGGTACCCTTTAATATAGAAAACAAGGTGTAAATTGAAAATATTTGATGAATCACAGTCATATGTTTTTAAGGATTGGCCAGTCATGATTCCGACTTCAACGGTCTCATGTGACTGTCAATTTGGAAGTGTTATATTTGACTCATGTGCAATCTAATAGCTTTTCAGCTCGCCTGAAGGTACTACTGCAATATGTAAGCCATTACTTGGTAGAATGCTTTGACACACTGCTCTGAGAATGAAAAATACCTGGGAAAATAAACTGTGTTTTATCATTCATCTCATGCAGCATTACTAGAAGTCTGTTTTGTTATTGTTGTTTTTCAGCCCCTCTGACTGATAAGCCACCCAAGCTTTTGTATCCTATGGAAAGTAAACTGACAATTCAGGAGACTCAGCTGGGTGAGTAATTCCTTAATTCTGGTTAATACCCTTTTCTCAATACATTCCAACAGTTAATAAGCCTACATTGTAACCTGATGTCATCCTCTAAGCCAAACCTCTATGTATTTGAAGGGAGCAAAATTGGGAAATCCCAGCAAACATGGCCCATTCCATTCCCCATAGTGTGTGCGTTAATACCAAGCTGGACATATGGATATAAAGACTCACGTGTTTTTCATATAATTGTTAGGAAATGAGATGGGCTAAAGGTCTTATTGGTGGCATTATATTGTCTTTTATAAAGCTCAGTTTGGTTTTACAATAGGCTGTGTGGAACTCTGACTTACACCATTAGTACGTTAAAAGACAATTTTTGAAAATTAGGAGAAAAGGTACAAATTCATTAAGATAAGTGTTGCTGTTACAGTTACACATCATTTTTATCTAATCAAATGTGGAAGACATTATGCTATTTTATTTTTAACAAAATGTGAGCAAGTAGCTTTCGGTTAAAGGACTAACAGGTTTGGGACATAAGAACATGGACAAAATTGCTTTGGTAAAAATATCCAGTTGTCTACAAATTAGAATTCTAACATAGTTATCTTAGAGTTCAGTCTGGAATTTACAGATGTGGTATATCTATATTCAGTATGATTTTAAGTATAATTTTAACCATATATTCATGTTTGTATGGAATTTTTTCCCACACTCACCATTTGACAGTGGAAATACTTTATTATATAAAACTAAAAAGGAATTGATAACCCTCCCCTAAGTTATTGATGTTATTATTGTTTTGGGAGTGAGAATTTGGATTAAAATTGTAAATTATCTTCAAAATGAAGATTACAGATGTGATCATCTTTAGTAATAGCATATTCAAATTTATAGTGCAAAAAGATATGGTCTTAGAACCTATGAAGTTATTATAGTCAACAGGTTTTTAACATTGGTAATATTTACTAACTTTAAGGCATGAACATATACAAGATTTATTCAAGTCAGGGCATCAATATGCTTCTTTGATGATAAACCCAAGCCTTTGAGTTGATGCCATATACACGCAAGTAGTATTCCAGTTGTCACTATTTTGAGATAGAAGACCATAAGCATCATTAAAACAATGTTCTATATGAAACAGAGATATATTAAAATTACATCATACTCTTTACTCATGTTATGATATATTAAAATATGTTAGCTTTTATTGCTGCTTTCTGAGGAAATTTTGAAATGTAAATTTTAAGTGGCCACACTCATACACACCTTTCAATATTCCTAGGAAGATGTATTTCTAAAGTTATACAAAACAATATATAGATCTTGGGAAAGAAGAAGTGGTTTATGGTACCAGTTATCAGTAATGAACATAGTGAAAATGAAATTAATTGTGTCTCTTTACTTGACAATATAATTAAAAGAATACTATGATTGATGGTTGCCCATAGGGTTTTCTTATATTATCTATTGTTCTCAACATTCTACTAAAATGTTATACAGAATGAAATAATTCATAAAGCTTTCTTTTAAAAAAATTATTTTTTCTTGAACAAAAATTATGGAGACTAATCAAATCAATTTGAAAGTATGAAAATTTCTTATGCAAATTGGAAGTTTCAACTGCATATTCGTTTGAAGAAAGATGGGCCTGTGTGTTAGCAAGATGCTCTGAGAAGTACTATAATTCCTTTATTACCACCACCAAAAGGAGCATGAGTTCTCTTTAAATACCAAGTAGACTAGACATCAACCTAGGATTTGGATTCTTTTAAACAACTTTTGTTTCATTTTATTTTCTGATTCTGATTCTCATTGTATGGAACAAATCATTTGCTAGTTAGGGAAATTTAGCCTTAATCCTTGAATTTTTGGATCAACAGTTGATTTGAATAAACTACTCTGTTACTGTTGTTACTTCAGTAGTATTGGAGTAGGTGAGCAGACCATCACAAAGGGTAAGTGAAAATAGAAAGTAATGTTAAGGACCAAACAAAAAGACTCTAGATGCTTAAAATATATTTGTTTTCTTCAATATGTACTTTGATTTTTCTCCTCCTGGGGATTTAATTTTTGCCTTTCTAGGCTTGAAAAAGCTGTCAAATTCAACAGGGTCAAATGTATTACATCCTAAGGAAGGGGGATTGAGTGAAGTTTCATGGGGTGGGAGTCAGGAGGGTGGCCAGTACCAGCGATGGAGAGCCTCTAAGTGGTACCTACTTTTATGAGAAAGTGAGAATCTCCAACAGAGTTTCATTGATCAAGAGCTCAGGTGTCTGACTCAACCTTGTCCTAAATTGAAAACTCACCTCAGAGGATAATAAAACTAGCACATGAGCTACAGTATAAGAACAATAATCAGTAATTACACAAAGCTGAGTTGGTATATGTCTGCTGACCTAACTTGAACATCCTGGCAAAGTTATATACACATCCATCTGACCTTGGTAACTATAAACGCATTAGTCCTCCAGTTTGTCTGTAAATATATAAAACTCATTAATAATGTCATAGATAAAATCATGGATTTGTCTTCATCACCATATTCTCCTTCATCTGCCATTTGCTGCCTTTTGCTCTCCACCTCCCTTGTGGCTTCTTTTCCCCCCAGTTCCTTCATCTTCTCAAAACTGGAAAGATTGATAGTAGTCATTTAAATGATTCCAGTGTAGAAAGCAAAAGGTATGAAAAAGCAAAGTACTGAGGACAAAAGATAAAATAGTAAAAAATATATAAATGGGTGGGTTTGAATTTTAATCAATTTTAATGTGGTTACAGCCTAGCATTTCCATTTTAAGTGGCATCAGTGTGTTACTTCACAAAGTGAAAAAAAGAACTTTGTTCTTTTTAATTAACTTGAAGACATCAGCAAATGTCTGGGCAGCACTTTCTTGGGTAAAATCCTAGAAATCATGCTGTACAATTCTGAAGGTCAATTCAGTATGTGAGCCTGATTAGTCCTTTCAGGCTGTGGTAGTCAAGGGAATCAAAAGACAGACACCATAATCTTGCTGAGCTTGAGCCGTGAGTGTGTCAGTCAGCAATGTGGCCTTCTTGTTACAGCCAGGAACCCATTTTCAGAAACTTCCAGAACAAAGGATGTTATTATTCACCATTAACAGACTTTCAAAGAGTAGAAATCAATCCCACCATTAACCTAGTGAGATACATTATACTTTACAACTTAAAAGTGATGAAAAATTACCGTTAATTACTCATCTGGACCTGGGTATCACCGTATTTAAATTTTAGTTTTTTGCTTAGAAAATGATCATACAGGTTAATGGTAGAAATTTTGGAGAATTAAAGGAAAGAATCTGCTTCTATTAAATGTTCTTGGAAAATATCCATTTAATGGATACATGATATCCACATAAGTGTCCTGTAATTTCATACATATTGCTAGAAATTTGGGGGTTTTTTACAAATTTTATCATCATAAATAATGAGGCAGTGATCTTTACTTATACATTTTTCCCTTGACTTTATAATTATTTCAACAGGTTGAATTCCTAAAAGGAAAAATACTAGGTAAAATCAAATAATCTTATTAAAGTTTCTTGCTATATTTTTAGAATTCTTACCAAAGAAGTAACATAAACTCTCACCAGAAGCATATAATAGCTGTAATAAATTTTAAAATGTTTAAATTCAACTTGTATAAACTAAAAAAAAAAAAAAAATCATCAATTTCTCCCACTCTCCAGTCCTCTGCCTCTTATAATCACCAGTCTGTTCTCTGAATCTATGAACTTGTTTTTTGTTTCATTTTGGTTTTTTTCCCTTAGAGTCTACATGTAAGAGAGAACGTACAATGTTTGTTTTTCTCTGACTGACTTATTTCACTTAGCTTAATACCCTCAGGATCCATCTAGGTTGTCACAAATTGCAAGATTTCAATCTTTTTTTTATGGCTAAGTATTATCCCATCATAGATATCTATATCCCTATCTATATCTGTATATGTACGTGTACACACACACACACACCCCACATCTTCTTTATCCATTCATCCACTGATGGACGCTTAGGTTGTTTCCATATCTTGACTATTAAAAACAAGGCTGTGATGAACATATAGATATATATATATCTTTGCAAATTAATGTTCTTATTATCTTCAAATAAATTCCCAGAAGTAGAATTGCTGAATCATATGTAGTTCTAGTTTTAACTTTTTGAGGAAGCTCCATGCTGTTTTCCACAAATTGGTTGCACCAATTTATGTTTCCACCTGCAGTGCACAGCGTTTCCTTTTTTCCACATCCTCTCCAACATTTATTATTTGTTGTCTTTTTGATAATAGCCATTCTGACAGGTGTGAGGTGGTATCTCAGAGTGGTTTTGTTTTACATTTCCCTGATGATTAATAACATTTAGCATCCTTTTATGTTCCTGTTGACCATTTGTATGCCTTCTTTGAAAAATGACTATTCAGATCTTCTCTCCATTTTTTAAATTAGATTGGGGGTGTTATTGTTGTTATTAAGTTGTTTGAGTTATTTGTATGTTCTGAATATTAGCACCTCAGATACGTGATCTGTAATTATTTTTCTCTGATTCACTAGGTGGCCTTTTTATTTTGTTGCTGGTTTCCTTTGTCATGCAGAAGCTTTTTAGTTTGATGTTATCCCACTTGTATATTTTTGTCTTTGTTTCTTTTGATTTGGAGTCGAATCCAAAAATTCCATGTCAAAACTGATGTCAGGAAGCTATGGCCTATGTTTTCCTTTAGAAGTTTTATGGTTTCAAGTCTTACATTCAATTTGGTAATCCATTTTGAGTTAATATTTGTATATGGTTTCAGATCGTAGTCCAGTTTCATTCTTTAGCTTGTGACTCTCCAGTTTTCCCACCACCATTTATTAAAGAGGCTTTTTCCCATTGCATATTCTTGGCTCCTTTTTCATAAATTAGTTGACAATGCATGTGTGAGGTCATTTCAAGCTCTCTGTTCTTTTCCATTGATCTATATGGCTGTTTTTATGCCAATACATACTTTTTAATTACTGTAACTT